ACGCTCGGGTCTGTTTCTGGTTGGACGGGGAGTTGAACCGTATGCTCGCCGTCCGCAGTCCCGCGCTTACGGTGGCCGGAGATCGTCCCGCGATCCCCGACGCCCGGTGTGTCCTTCCCGATGGCTGGGTTGCGAGGAGGCAGCGCTTGATCCGGAGGTTTAAGTCTTTCCATGCATAAGGGTGCGGGTTCGAAACCTACCAACGGCAAGTAACAATGTGACTTTTTCATGACACCACTGACAAACGGTGAAGGAAAACATCGTGAGGAAACCTGAACTTATATTATTTCTAATTATAAATTTGTAATCGCCAACCCCCATTGAGCAGGCTTGGTGATTAATGCTCAAACCTTCTCCGTTTGAGAAGAGGCTTTGCTCAGCAAAGGGCATTTATAGGCTGTTGATGATGATGATGACACACAGACAAAAAGTAGACACATAACTAATATATTTTTATTTTGTAGTTGTGATATTCGATTATCGAGTTCATCGAGGATTTTAATACCTACATAAAACTTATAGTGGAAAGTTAATAATAAATCGATGTACTTAAATAATAGCATAGCTTCCGAATGACTACACCCAATTGTATAATTCCTATTTTGATGTTTAATAAATAAACAAATTCTCCAGAAAAATCTGGGAATATACCCAAAAGAAGTCGGGACGGGCTACTAGTTTTAAGTTATTGCGTAAACTACTTACACTACTATGAAGTTACTACGTTAATTAATATGTTTTCGCCTTACTCACGTAATTAACAGTAACAGTAGTAGCGCTACAGTCGCCGCGTCACGGATCGCGGAATGCTACTCATAAATATGAGCCTCTAGCAGTGCTTGAAACTAGTCGAGCTCCTCGTCAAATAATTAATAAGTACGCCGAAAACATAATAATTAATTTAGTACGTCTCACGAAAGTTATAATACAAGTTACCACGTAATATTAAGCAAAACTTTTTTAACAAATACACTCGTTGACATGCACAAAACAACGCCAACTATCATCGAAGGCAAATAGAAATTGGCCGGAATAAAAGCGAACAATAATCCCAATAACACGATTCGTATCGCGAAAGACCCCAAAACCGGTTCGTGTAGAACAACGTTGACCCCACCTTGACCCCAAAGGCGTTAACGTATCGATTGGGTTTCCGTAAGGCATACAAATACTCCTTGTTACTGTGTGTACGTGGTTACTATCGCGTGGTTTCCGTAAACAAATATTGACGTAACTTCATAGTTCTGTTGTTCTAAAGCAGTTGACAGAATCGTACTGTGTAATCATTATTTACTTAGTATGCTTTTATAATATTTGTAGTGAGACATTTTTTTATGGCATAAGCCGGTAGACGAGCAGACGGATAACCTGATGGTAAGCAATCGGCGTCGCCCATGGACACCTGGAACACCAGAGGCGTTACAAGTGCGTTACTGGCCTTTTGGGGTTTAGGAGTTTGAGGATCGTTGAGGATTCAGGGATTGGGGAGATTGGGGTGGGGGGGGGGGGTAATTGGGCCTCCGGTAACCTCACTCAAACGACGAAACAAAACGCAAGCGTTGCTTCATGTCGGTTTTCTGTGAGGTCGTGGTATCACTCCGGTCGAGCCTGCCCATTCGTGCCGAAGCATGGCTCTCCCACACTTCAAATATCAATAGACATACTAAATTAACTAAAAATCACGGGTCACTCATAAGAAAAGAATAAGAAAAACTCTCTAGTAGGCTGCACGACATCGCCGCAGCCGCGCACGCTGCTAATGAGAAAGAACCCCTCTGTGACCTGAAACTAGTAGAACTTTTCTCAGTACTTTCACATGAGTAACCCACGACTTTCAATTATTTAGTACTTGATATACTGATTGTTCTGTAATTATGTCAAGGCATAACTCAAATCTCGCTTTAGTCATTGAAGCTATGGGTTTATAACTTAATCTTTGATTGGTTTGTCAAAACCATGGAATTCAGAATTGGACTCCAACTTTGGCTGGTCTAAAGGTACTGTTAGAACAGCAGCATACTGATAAATTAAAAAAAAAATTAACGCCTGTCGATGATGAAAATGAGCTAATTTTAAGCAACATTCCCAGTTCCTACACACATGCTACTAAGTGAGAAGTGCTTAATTGAAGTCGTGGCGGTCTTTGTGGCCCTGAGGTTTAAGACGCCCACTTCTCAAACATGAGAGCGCGGGATCGAAAACTACCAACGCCAAGTACCAATGTGACTTTTTCCGAGTTATATGTATGTATTTTCTGAGATTAAACGAAAATATCGTGAGGAAACCTGAGCTTATAATTTCACAAGCGCATTTAACAAGCGTGGCGATTAATGCACAAACCTTCTCCATGTGAGAAGAGGCTTTGCTCAACAGAGGGCATTTATAGGCTGTTGATGTGTATATATGTGTGGTCAATTGAAGCGTGTTTTAGTGCTTGAAATAAGCACTTGTAACAATACCTTCATTTCTATAGTATGAATATCATTGCGTCTTTCTTTTGTTTATAGAAAGGTTGTTATTGTCAACGATTATTAATCCTCGTCTTATTTGTCATATTTGTTATCAGATTCTTGATCAAAACCCTATGTATATTGTATTCTTTCGTCTCTCCCCTACGTGTCTTCCCTCCACATAGTAGGTATTACATAAGTGTCACATAAGACAATAGACATCTCGATACTTTAAAATTCTCGCGTCAAAGCCTCGATAAGTCGGTCAAAGGAGTGTTACAGCTTTTGACAAGGGATGATACGAGGTTAAAAATATACGCATAAGTAAGCTTGATAAATTTACCTTGGGTCGTGGCAAAAAATTTCTCGTGACACAAATCCTTACGGATAAGAAGAGCCGTACGTCAATAGGGACATTGTGGATTTTTTTTCTATCTTTATCTTTAGTAGGTTTTTTTTTAATCCCCGTGTAGTTTCAGTTTTGGGATTTGTTGGGAGTAAGGCATTTGGTTTGATGCTTACGGAAAACAATTTTTGGAAATGATTTGATGATTTTTAACCAACTTAAAAAAAAGAGGTTCAAAATTGACCTGTTTGTTTGTTCGTTTGTATCTATGTTTGTGCGCGACTATCTCGCGATTGGCTGAACCGATTTTGATGCGGTTTTCAGTAAAATATTTGTTATACTAGGAGAATGTTTTAGTATATTATTTAACCGAGTTCCAAAAATAGTGGGGGTTGAAATCGGTGTTTTAAACGTAGCTGTAGTTTATACAAGAAATATGTAACAAAAAATAGGTATAGTTAAAACGAGACACACTTATTTTTGGGAGAATAGTGCTAATAAAATATATAATTTAATAATTGCAATGTGATGAGGAATGATTCAATAAATAAGGTACTAGTGTACTTTAAGTAAATACGTAGGTAAGTACTGGCAATGCAATACAATCACTATAGTTTCGTTACTACCAAACACTAGATATACTCAACAATTTTTTATCAAAAAACATTTGTGGTTTTTGTTGAAAGCCAGCCGTCAACAAAAACATATCAGTTGATATATCTGCGACAATTTGCTAGTATTTGTCACTCGAAGTCTGAAGGGTCATTGCGAACGGAACGGGGTCGTGTGACATCACGTCGGTAACAACTGTCAATTGCGACGAGTCGCAGCGTTCAGTTGTTTAGTATAGTATTTATTTCTATTTTTATAGTATTTCTCTCTATTTGTACATGTGTTTTTACGTAAAAAAAGAAATTCTCTATTAGCAGCTGATTTCTCTAAAGCTATCAAATCCAATATAAGTCTGCTAGAAGAATGAGGAAAAAAAATGTAGTGAGAGCGAGAAAGAGAGCGTTAAAAAGCCACAAAACACGCTTTAATCATCAGTGCCGTTCAGAAAATGATGAAATATCAGTCGCCTGTGATGAGAGCCATCAGACCACCACAGATGGGGCCCAATAGGGCTGATGCCGATACGGAGTCGCGGAGAACCTAACGGGTTACTGGGGCTCCGGCTCGAAGTGCAGGAGTAGGAACGGGGTGGTTTTTAGTCAGTAAAAGTCTGACACTCCCTCCCGCCTCACCCTTGGAGCAGTCATTCGATGATTTTAACCCTTAAAAAAAGTGATAGAATATTTTGAATATTGAAATGCTATACTGAGAGCAAATTTATAGATAGACTATAATCTTTACTTAAAGTATTACCACATTGTTTATTTATGTTTTAGACCATATAACATCACGCCTTCAAAACAGTCACGGGTATTCAAAGAGTATAATAATATGGAGGATATAGTCAAATACTGGACACCAATCTAAGCTAAATCCTGTACTTACCATTACCCATATAACCACTATCCATGCAGCAGTTCCAACAAAAAAATAAACACGCCACAAATACTCCGCATTGTGCCTCAAAATAGGCCTCAAAATAAAACACCCGCTAGGTGCTCTTAATATCAAAATGTAGCATTTAAACTCTTGAGCACTCAAACTAGGTTGGAACTCCACACACATTGTACTTGTTGCTAGAAATAGGTCAAACTGAAGTGGTTCTGGTTCTAGACAAGTTAGGACATGACGCAAATGGAATGAGATTATACTCAGTAGTGTTCTCTCTAACTAATTTAAACTCGGCCGTAAAATATTCTTGTGTGGAAATGCTTGTCATCTGTAGGGAGTTGCCTGTGTGTCGCATAAGTTTGTGGTTTGATACGGAATATGCTTCTGATGGAATAGGTAGAGATGCACTGATACAATAATTTTAATTTTTTTTTGCGAATTCATAGCCACATATCATTGGCCTAATCTGGTTTAGATTGGAATTACTGGTACTCAATTTTCAGGGCTCATACGACACTGCTGAAACTGACACTGCTTATATATCATGTGTGTATGATTGGCAACTAATAAGACTGATAGCATAGTTACGTGCATTCGTAGAACCTGATGTAATAAAAGACCAAAATTATTTCCAGAAAGTCATCTAAACTTCGATATAAACAGATTAAATGATAATCCACGACAATCATCATTGTCCTCAGGCAAAGTGGATGAGAAGGCGACACAGTTGCACGCGATAGCTTCCTTAAAGGTGTTGCTGGAGGCGACACGGCCGACAGCTGGTGGTGCTGGTGCAGCCGCTGCGAGACATTCTGCAGCGGCCGCGCAAGCCAAGGAGACACCGCTAGACCTGCCCAACGGTGGGATTGCGGACGTCCAGTTAGATGCTATAGAAGAGGTAAGATTGTTTGGTTTAGTTTATGATTAAGATGATAATGATTGTTTCTAGGTGGTTAAATGGAAAATGGCATGAAGAATCTCTTGGGCTATGGAAAATGTAAGCTTGACTCTGACATAGAACTGTGATTCATGATTTGACTAGGAAAACATAGATAATCTGAGTGCGTAGTAAACAATTTCACCATTTTTATTTTCTACTTGTGTCCAACGAAAATACTACGTTTGAACGAACAATCCGAAAAAGAAATCAAATAGAATTGTACCCAAACTTCTGTCATATCAAGATAAACACGCCTTTGTTCGATCGAAGAGATTTATAGTTTCAGTCATCTCCGTCTCATTGTGTGCGACGTGGCAAATGATTAATTGACTCCACGACCTGAATCCTGGGCCCAGTAATCTGCACAATTTGGGTTCCACCGTTTTTGTGCCCACAAATTCAATTTTTTGGGCCAGAAAATGTAATGTGCGATCGTGATGGATACCGTAATTAGGTAAATCTAGGTGAAATCTTTGTTTTTATGGGGCATCGGTGACGACTAGGCATGTTTAATAGAGGTTAGACACGACTCGTGATTGTTTTTGGTATCAGCACTGTATAAATGTCAGCATAAAGGCCGAACTGATATTTTGCTACATCTTTCGCCAGATATATTGGACTTCAACTGTAATACAACCATATAAAATATTGACGTGTAAAAGTGCTGCCTTGTAGCCTATTTGCAGAAATAAATTCACTTGTTTCACTTAACCTCAATTGCATCATAGCCATATTAATTACTATATTCTTACATTATACCACTTTTTAAAAATATTGTAAACAACCCCATTATGAACATTCATTTTACAATCCTACGTATTTTTTCATTCAACTATTGTTTTGTGCTCATCCTCTTTGAATTCCAGCTAAGTATTTCACCAAGGAAGATCAAGACGACAGCATTAACAGATTGCTGCAGTTGTCCGTCATCTCTGTGAACATGTTAATGTAAATAGAGATCACCGACAAATGCAGCAACAATCATCTACTGCAAGTTCTTTAACAATGAATCATCATCAACTGGACAATCCCCGTAATTGGCAGGCTGCTTTTGGACAGCAACAAAATCATCCGGAAATTAAAAAAAAAGGCTGCTCTATCTTTTAGTGACTCGTTGCATTGTTTTCCGTATTACGTACCAATCTTACCAATATTTAACCTTAGGTCGTCGCAAACCTTTAGAGCACGGCTCTCTCCAAACCAGCAACGTTATTGTCATTTAAATATGAGCTTTAAATCGTGTGTGGTATGACATATTTCCTAACGATAATATAAAAAAGCTGTAAGCGCGCCGTCCGCGCGCCAACGGCGCCCTTACAACGCTTTTGTATTGTTTCTTAAGCAAAAATCGCCGTGCCGCAGCCGTGCTTGAGCCGTGCCGGAGCCGTGCTCATAAAGTGTACGATGATCTTTAATCTGTAACACTGTTAATTGTTAATTTTATTACTGTGGCTTTTTTTACAATTAATCTTAGTTTGTTAATCGTGTAAGTAACGCTTTTCAAATATATTGATATACTTCCTCAAGATATTATAGATGAATACAATGGAGATCATCATGCCCAATTTACTGATCCCCACTCCGTTCGTTCTTGTGTTACATTTCACCGGAACGATCGAAGAGGTTGGACCAGTCGGTTGGATCTTAGCGAAATCTTCATCATCAACACTTTCGGAATATCTGGAAGACAGAAGACCAGTACCTATTAAAGTTATTTATTTAGAATGGCTATATAGACTGTAAAAACCTATGAATGTTACAAATTTAGTTATTTTCTTTAACTGTGTCATCACTATCCATCATTTAATTTCCTAAATGTAATTCGTACCATACTCATACCATGTGTATTTTTTCATATTGTCAGCCACATCTTCAATTGTTTTAACTTCTAAGACCTATCAAGAGCTTTAGAACCGTTTTCCACCTTTAAGGGTAGTACAGAATACCCCAATAAAATTGGGACCAGGAGAAGGAGATGTTTAGTTCGCATTTCCCATCTAATTAGCCCAGTCCCTCATTCTTGTTCTTAATGAACACAAGACGGAGTGACTGGGATCATATTGAGTGGGATCTTCACGACGTCATCAGCTGCTCATTTACACAGAACTTCCATATCATACCTACCTACTTCTTTCTCATTCTTGTTTTTTGTATGTGTGTGTTTTGTTTTGTTCATTGTACTGTGCCTTTGTGTGTTTTCATTACATTTGTGTCATTGGCCGTTTTCACCAGCCACCCCTAAACTATATCTTAACTAAGAGTTACTTATAATGTGAGAGCCAAACCTAAACTAATCCATAGCTTGTCCTGTTAGGTGTCACTTGTAAGTTGGAGAAAACTAAAATGTAATTAGATATCACCTACCTTATAAGTTAAGGGAGGTTGATGAACACAGGCAGGAATGTCTAAAATATGTTGTCATTGTGTTGAATATCGTGTCAAAATATTGTATTCGTGTGTAACATAATCTACCCCGGTATCGAACTTAACTTCGGAAACAAATCATTGTAACCTGTAAGATTTACCTGTCAATTTGATTTAAAATCAATTTTTTGATATGAAAATCCCTCGATCCAACCTGATAATCAATTTTAATTCCTTTTCTGTATCTAATCCATTTTGTCATGTGACTGGGGATGTCATGTACTGGGATTTACACTGTCAAATATTTTGGATATGATACGATTAGATTATTTTATTTATTACTGTTTTTTCTATTGAAAACAATAATTATGAAGTGTAGGCAAGCTGTGTTGTAATTTGACTTTTAAATGTGTACATAACCGATAAATGTGAATTCACAGAAAATTTTACAAACTTAAAGAAACGAATTGAGTTCCTTGTCAAATAATTACGTGAATAAGCCGAAAAAACATAATAATTATAATATTTTACAAATGAACAAATACATTATCCATGTTAACAAACAAAACTCAATATAATAATGAACAGATTTAACAGGTTTCACGAGTATCCTCTAAGCCCTAGTAATGGTAAAAACATTATGGATAATATTCACGCAAAATCTCACTTAGTCCGGTCTCTCATAGTCTAGGTGGCAATTTGTTATCTATGAATCGTGTGTGCCTGACAGTATAGTCTGTGGCCGTGCCATTCCCCAAAATGCCTTTTTCCCTGTGTATAACTTTTCCTTTTAACTGTCTCCCAACTATCTAAGGGTTTATGAGTGGATCTCCATAATAGAATGCCAAAATTGGGTCCTCGTGATGTCCCAGCCCTTTGTAGTCAAATTTATTGTGTTCAACGCCGCTCTGTTTCACGCCTTACCAGCTATTTAAACTTCGGAATAGTTTTATTTTGTGTTAGTAGAATTATGAGGCGTTTTGAAACGAATATGTATTGTATCTACTTGAGTTCTTTCCAGTATTACATGTAATGTACCAAAAACAGTACATTTAATAACAATTCTTATAAGGAGAGAGACACACTCTTTATCCACGTGCCTTAATTCCTCTTAAAACTCATTTCTTGCTTCAACAGCATTATCATTGTAATCAACCACTCCAACATCCAAACATCTGCTCCCCAATGACTTCCAAATCGTTTCTGGATTCAAGTTTCAAATTTTCCAGTCCATAACCAGTGTCCATTGTTCCAGATTGGAGACCTGGAGGAGGACACGACGCCGTTGGACATGTCGTGGCCCACAGGGTTCCGCAAGCGAGTAACTTACTTGTTAGTCGCACCCATTGTCTTCCCACTCTGGATGACCCTACCAGATACAAGAACACCGAAAGGTATAACTTTGTTTCTTTTATTTTTGTTTTTATTGAAATATTGAGATGCCTAGACGGCGCTAGTGAAGTTTAATAGCTCATAAGTTTCATTATTTTTTTCATCTCAAACGTTATTAGCGTTTAGAAAGTTAAAAAATTCTATATCGATTTACTCAGACCTTCTCGCTATTGTGGGATTTTATATTCAATGAATTAGATAAATCAAATTTGCAAAAATATGTTCGCACATGTACGATACTGACTGTTTAATATTTTTACTAATACACATTTTTTTATTTTCAGGGAAAAGATTTTTCCCGGTAACATTTATAGGGTCTATAGTTTGGATAGCTTTCTTTTCGTACTTGATGGTATGGTGGGCGAATGTAGCGGGGGCGACGGCCCATGTGCCTCCTGAGGTGATGGGACTGACACTCCTGGCTGCTGGAACATCCGTTCCTGACCTCATCACGTCAGTCATCGTCGCCAGAAAGGGGTTCGGCGACATGGCTGTCTCCAGCTCAGTCGGCAGCAATATTTTTGATGTTACCGTTGGGTAAGTGTTTACTTATTTTGTTAAGTATATAGGTACCAAAGACAAAATTAATTATAAGGCTATTTATAAGGATATAATTATGCTCATTGCGTTATTTTCGTTTTATTATCATTTTTCTTTGTTATAATATAGTCGAACTAAAAGCAAATTGCCGTTGTTTTGAATTAAGAAAAGTTTTCAGCGCATGTATACACGTACATTGCGGGTATGTTCCCTCGACTAGTTTTGAGCATTGCGGCTTCTCCCCCCAAGAGGGATGCAAACTATCTGATAAACGCTATTGCAGATGAAACCGATATTTTAACGGCCGGAATTCCGCGCCTGCCGAATACTTTAGTGCGGGCATTCCTCGGAGAAGTTCTGGCATAGTTTAGTAGTTCCAAATTTGGGCCACGGAGAGTTATGTCCTTTTTATACATGGCGACAAAAATCCTGTTTAAAATTTATTATAAACATTTCCCGTTTTATATGACCTGCATTTAGTAGCTCGTTTTATCGAGATCTCATTTCAGTTTGCAGTTTACAGTTTGAACTTTATGACGATGCACTTAAAAGTTATATTTGTTTACGTTCAAGTTGAATCTTTACTGCTCATTTCATATGGAAATGGGTTTCTTTTATAGATTTGAGAAACAGTTTTTAGGTACACATACACATATAACATTCCCCAAGGACATTGAAAAAATGGCGGACATAGTGTCTTGAAACAACGACTGTGGCTCCTGGCTACTATAGACTTGCACGCAGAATACACACACATTGACACAGAGGACATCTGTCGCGAGACTTGGTCCGTCATTACACGTCAAAATAAATGATCATCCCAAGACATTAAATTGGTCCTAACTAGGAATTGAAAATTAAATTGTGTCATGGTGGCCCGGAGGTTTAGACGCTCGCTTCTCATGCATGAGGATGCGGGTTCGAAACCTTCCAACGGCTACCAATGTGACTTGTTCAGAGTTATATGTACTTTCTAATATTATCTAGACACCACGGACAAACGATGAAGGAAAAGATCATTTGGAAACCTGGGCTTATCATTTCTTATTATAACTTTGAAATCGCTAACCCGCAATGAGCAAGCGTGGTGATTGATGCTCAAACCTTCTCCGTGTGAGAAGAGGCTTTGCTTAGCAGTGGGCATTTAGAGGTATAGGCTGTTGATGATGATAATTGATGATGAACGGAAACCTTAAATCTTCCGCTTATCCATCTTTCATTTACAATCACCAGATCTTCTGTAACAGTTACGTTTACGAACTCCTACAAACACATGGTCTAAAGAGAATTATACATTATATCTCTTTCTTTCTCTTTTTTCTCTTTTTTTAAAAACGTTGCCCCACACTAGGATTTTCTCCTGTGTCGTGGGTGCGTTTACAAACATACAATATCACATACACATCACACCCAGACCCGAAACAACAATTTGTGGATCACACAAAGTGTTGTCCCGTGCGGGAATCGAACCCGCGACACGTTGCACGGCAGCCGGTTGCCCAGCCACCGCACCAACCGTGCAGTCGTATACATTATATAGTATACACTCGTATAATTGGGTAAAATACTTCATCAAACCCCTACAGATTCCCTCTAATTAGATTCCTTGATTGGATTCGAGAAACATATATTATGGTTACTGCTTTTTCCTTGATTGCCCACGATAGTCATAGTAAAGTACCAATAAATCTTATTTGATATAAAAATATGAGTAACATAGGTACTATCATGCCTACCGTTCCGCAAGGGATTTCTTTTTAAGGGGGGAAAGTCATCGAATGACTGCTCCTGCCTGGGTGAGGCGGAAGCGAGTGTCAAACTCTTACTGACTAAAAACCACCCCGTTCCTACTCCTGCACTTCGATCCGGAGCCCCGGTAACCCGTTAGGTTCTCCGCGGCTCCGTATCGGCATCAGCCCTATTGGACCCCATCTGTGGTGGTCTGATGGCTCCTTGAAGCGCACGCGGAACGCGACTCGCCGTACGCTCGGGTTTTCATAAGGGATAGACAAAGATCAAGAGAACATATAACATCACGCCATGTTGTAGATATTATATTCGTAACCCCCTTCTAAGAAAAGGCACCCTGTATTATTCAACAATCTTATTGTCGAACACTGAAAGACTACTCAATTTTAAGTCGTGCTTAAGTATAGTTCTACCACTATAAATGCTTGTGTTAAGATGGCATGATGAATAAAATTTAGTAGCCTTTCAGTATTTGGTCGTTAGACTACTCATTTCATACTCCATTTCATTCTGATATCAAAAAACAGTTTCCGATTTTGGGATCAAATTCTAGACATTTGCAACCCTCAGAGATAAGAAGCAAAAAATAATAAACGGACTACTCTATACCCACACACATGCACATATTGAACTAATAAAAGAACCCGAAACACCAGTTTAACTAAACCAAGAGTGGCCAACATCTGCTAACCAAAAACGTAACGAACTTAATCAAATGAACTTTCCCAACCTGTGTTCCAAGATAAGAACATTCTAGACTTTAAATAACGAACGTTACGCCATCTTAAGCTTACCCACTACTTGGAATTGGAACGCCGCCAAAAAACGACGGTAGTTATGAATTCGCGCGCTTTTTCTCGAGTAGTGGGGGGAAACTGCGCATTTATTTTTGAGACGCCGCTCGAGAAGGTCGTGTTTGCTTTTCGTTTATTTTTTGCTAGAAGATGTAAAGAAGTTGCTTAATTAACGGTGATATCTGAGATAGACATTTTTAAGTGCATCTACTCTTTACCAGTGATATTAAATAGAACTCCCATAAAATAAGTACGAGCCTATTTTTACATAATTCAATGAATATATACTATTATAGAGAATATCAAAGATTTAAACGTCACTTACCAGTATTTTCTATTAAACCAGTCGTTCTCAAGACTTCCCATTGCTTTTCTATCAACCAATATGAGTCAATCTTTTAAAAATAAATCATTACCACATTAATTCATTTCCTGAAATCAGTTGGCCCTTTGCCCTTAATAAGTACATTCGCTTGAACTTTATAGGCCAAGAGACCTGGCTGACAACAGTGGCCTTGTAACGCTAATTCTCTATGAATACTTTACGCTGTAAAGGTTTTATAGTACTACGATGTTACATTACGTATTTAAACTAGAAAGAGTTCACTGGAAAAGATTTTTAAACTGATTATTTTAGTAATTGAAACATAAAAGATTTGTGGATTTTTTTGCCAGAGTCTGTATTTCCTAAAGGGTAACCTGGTTGTATAACCTGGGTGTCTTCAAGGTCCTAATGAATAGGTTACTTATGAGACGACGTGCTCCATCGTAGACCGCATCATCGCTTACCACTAGGCGAGATAATAGTCAAACGTAGGCCCATCAAATAAAAAAAATGTCTAGTTTTACAATTGATATGTTACCAGCTACTTATTTGACTTCAATGATAATAAAGGATTTGGAAAAAAAAAGTCTTTACTAAAAGAAAAGAATTAAAATAACAAGAAAATTTGAGTACCAAGCAAATGTCACCACGTCGCGGGTCGCGGAATGCTGCTCATGAATATGAGCCTATAGCTATGCTTGAAACTAGTCGAGTTCTTCCTCAAACAGAAACGTGAGTAAGCCGAAAACATAATAATTCATTTAGCATCATTCACATTATGCATCACGAAAGTTTTAATATAAATAAAGAAAATTTATTGTAATGACATACCGCAATGATTATCTCATTACTATCGCATTAATAGTCTCGTAGTCAGTTTAGTCGATACGACACAATACTCTAACTAAAAATTACATTTCACTCTCTCCAACCCGCGCCTTACAAGAACCGCATACTGAACTAATAAATAACAAACATGAAATTATATTAGTACAATATTGAAAAGCGGCACGATCACGAATCGTGAACGAAACGAGGCCACAGGATACAATCTTTGACCCAATTCCGTAAACAGTTGTTGGATCACCCTTGACTTAGAACAATACAATCGGTTTAATCGGTTCTTAGAGCATTAGTGTTAAAGCGCTACTTTTCCGCATTTTCGCAAAAAGTATATTATCAACATATTACATAATATTGTATTGTACTAATATGTATGTAGGTTATTATAATAGGTATTAGGTATTATAATATAATTATGTTTATTTATGTTTATCTCTGTAATATGTAAGTGTATCTATTTTATTTGCTCTATTAAATCGTTGCTTGCTTCTTGCTCACACCATTAACTCTTCTCTGCATCACCCAAAGGTCAGACTGGAAGAAAATGCCTGCTGCATTAAGTCCACCTTATGTACATTTTGTGCATGAAGCGTATATAATTAAATACATAAAATATTAATTAACATAATTAATATCATATTAGTCAAACTTTACACTTTTTTATTATTGAAAGCTGAATAGTTTATTTGTTTATTTGAACGCGATAATGTTTGGAACTACAGGTTCGATGTAAAAAATAGTGTGTGTAGTCCATTTATTGAGGAATTGAGGAAGGGTGTGGACTATTAATAATACGCTACAATTAATAGAAGCCGTACAGACAAACAGTATAAATGTCGTGCTGTGTTTAATCAGACGATCATCTGACTGTAATAATTTATATTTGAATAATTAGGTACCATTTTTTTCCTTCTCTCTCTCTTTGCTGTTAGTTTATTCTCCGGACTTCTACAGATTTTCTACTTAAACCCTAAGGTTGACTGGCAGATAATGCCATATCGCATTAAGTTCGTCTTATGTTCCATAATCAAATTGTGTACAAAAAAGACTAAATAAATAAATAAATGTATTCTACTCTAGCGCCGCTTTACGGTTCAATTATTATCAGTATTATTAAAAACATACAATAATTGAACTGTTTTGTGTTAAAACTACCTCGTTGGCGGAGTGGTCGCAAGTGCAACTGCCGGGCAAAGGGTCTCGGGTTCGATTCTCGGATCGGGCAAAGTATTATTGTTTTTTTTTATTCTCAGTAGTAGCACGGAGTCTGGAGTTGTTCCTGGTCT